TTCCCTATCTAATTTAGGATCCTCCTTATGTCTGCACCCCCCACCCATAAAATATAGTATATTTCACAGTATGGGCCTGTGACAGAAAGTGCCCCCTCACCCCACCAGTAGACTTCTATTTCTGTTAACTGCCCAGGTAACAGTTCCTGTTATTTCTGTTTCCTGGTAACAGCTGGTCACTGTGATACATAGCTAGTCACTAAGATGCCTATTGTAGCAACCAATCAAAGACAGCCAAGTGCTCTACTTTTGTACTTCCCTTTTGCAAACAAGCCTATAAAAACCTCCATGAGCCTTAATGACCTGCCTTTTTTTCTTGAGGTCAGTGCCCACTGATGTTAAATAAATCTGCCTCTAAATCCTACATGACATTTTTATTGTTTCTGTTTGCCACTGCAAACCCTTGAGCTCCTAAAGACCCCTTCACAGTAAAGTGATCAGTACTGAGCACTATATTGTGTATTGTTTTCTTTTTTCTTTCTGTACTGCAATTTGCACTGACAGTGCTAACACTTCAGTCAAAAACCAAGACAGGGAACAGCAAAATGTCCTGGCAGTCACTGCTGTCCTCATCACCACATGCTTGGTTAAGAAAGCTAGTTTGTCATAAGAATGCCCAAGAGAAAGCAGCAAAAAATTATTATGACCTTTGAGTGCACAAATACTTTGAACATTTTGTGTATGAAACAAGAAGTATGTATAAAGTACAGTTGGCTTCTAGAATATGACTGTCCTAAAGAACAGTGCTATATGATTGTTCAAGCTCACGAGCTGAGCTAGTTGCTTTTTTATGGGACATGATTTTTACTTAGAAGAAAAGCTAACAAATTATTCAGACATATTTGGCAGACATTTTCTCAAAAATTAATGAAATAACCTGTCATTTCAAGGAAACAAGCAGTATTTGCAGCCAAATTTGAGTTCTAAAATTCTAATCTAGCATGACCACCTGCCTAGTGGTTAAGACTGCTGATGTGATCAATGGTGGTATTTTAAAAATGTACATTTTGTGTGTCAGATAGTATGTCAACACTTTGAAGATCTGTACATGTCAGTGATCTAACATTTTCTAAATGACCAATGCATGTGTAAAAGGTCCTTATAAAACACTCTGTATTAAAGTTCATTTTTATAGTTTCAAACTTCTGAGTAGTGAGCAAGGAACTATCAATTGTCAAATTCTAGTATGGTATCAAACATTTAAAATTATTTGAAATGCAATAAAAATACTCTTTTCTAGGTCACATCTAGTGGCAACATGTCTATAATCCCAGGACTCAGGAAACTGAGGCAGGATGACAGCTACAAGTTGAAGGCCCTGGACTACGTAATGAGAACCTATCTCAAAAAACTAAAACAAAACTTTTTTATATAAAAGTCTGGCTATAGGGGCTGGGGAGATGGCTCAGTAGAATAAGCACTTCCCTGGCAAACACAAGGGGCTGAGTTCAATCCCCAGTTCTGAAAAAAAAAAAAAAAAATTCTGGTTAACCATTTATATGTATACAAATTCATCTATAAAAAAGCCCAGATTTTCACTATGTTTTAAATCAAAATAATGAAAGACTACAAATATATATTAAGAAACCATCTGTCTATTAAACCAGACATTAAAAGAAACTTTTTAAAACTTAAAAACAATGCAACTCTTTTCACTGGATTTTTCATTATAGATGGTATGGTTTCTTTTAGATAAAAATATAGTATTTAGGTTAATATGCTGTCAGACTTTAGATCTAAAATGCCCTGTCTCCTGTGTCCCATCTCCTGTGATTAGAGGTGAGCCTTTGGGGAGGTGACTGTACCATAGTACACTATGCTCGTAAGTAGAATAGTCCACTTATGAGTGCATGGCTAAATGTGCTGTTGAGAAGTGAGACGTGATTGAAGGTGGGTCACAGGAGGTGTGGCCTGGAAAAGGGCACTCTTGTCCCTGTCTCCTCCCTTCTCTCACAGCTTCCCAGCTGCCATGAACTAAGCGGCTGTTTTCATCTGTGTCCTTCACCATGCTGTTTCTGCCTTGGAGCCAGTACACCATGGACTAAACCCACTGCAAACTGTGAGGTAAGCCTTTCCTGCTCTTAAGTTTCGGTGATGGGATTTTGTCCCAGCGACAGAAGAATAAATAATACACATGGAGTGGAGCACATTATTTTTAAATTTTTATTGCTTCAATTTTTAACTGGGTACTATCAATCAATAGCCCAGCTGTATGAAGTTATTTCTGGTCCTTAATAATTAAAAATACAAAAGAGGAGTGTTTTATTGTTTTTTAAGCAATTATGACTATCTGAAATTCTTGTTATGTGTGCACTATCTTTCTCAATGAGCAATGGAAACTTTAAATTAGCAGAGACCTTTCCCATCTTAGTGAATTCTATATCCTTAGTGCCTAAAATATGACCCAACGCATAGTGGGTGCTCAATATTGGTCAGATGGGGGATAAGGGTATATACAGCTCAATAGCAGAACACTTGTCTAGCATGCATAAGGATCTAGGTTCAATCCCTAGTACCCCTCCTCCAAAAGCAGACATAGTATTAGTTTGATAAACAGAATTAATGAGTAAACAGCACATTGAGGCACAGACGAAAGAAAATATATCATTTTAAGTTTATGGAACATACACATTATCCTTTCAGTGGTTAGCTGTTTCAAGATTAGGATGAAAGAACAGCTACTGAGGGTAGTCCAGCAGGCTGGTGCCACTTTCTACTCCCTGAGGCCTGCTTGCCCTCATACTAACTCTCTTTAGCTCTGTGCCTATCCCAGACATATTCTGGGATATCCCAGACATTTGTTGCCCAAACTGGCCTGAAACTATCACCCTGCCTCAACTTTCTTTTTTTTTTTTTTTTTTTTTTTTTTTTTTTTTTTTGTGTGTGTGTGTGTGTGTGTGTGTGTGTGGCCAGCTCAGCCCTCCAGGGGGCGGGGCTGGCTGGCATGTGGTGCTGGGGGATTGAACCGCGGTCCCTGTGCTTTGCTTGGCTTAGCTTGTTCTAAGTAGGTGCTTTAGACCACTGAGCCATCTCACCAGCCCCTCAACTTTCAAAATAGCTGGGACTACAGGCATACACCATCCCATCTAGCTTGCTTCTAGTTTTTGGAGCCAGACTTGTTACATTTTTATTTCCTATAAACACTTCAATAAGATGAGAAAAGTATCTAAATTCCGTGTTCATATATGACCTATCTGACTTAGAAATTCTTATAAAATTTATTCTTTTTTTCTAAAACAAATTATTTTTAGACTGAATTCCTAGTCCAAAGAGCTTTAATATTGACTTCAATATCTAGAAATATTAAATAGGATGGGAAATTAAAAGGAACCTGCTGAATTGGCCAGGAGTAAATACCAAAAGATTACAATAAAGCAATAGAGGAAAAGATAGGTGGCAGAAACAGCAACTCACAGTCACAGAATATGGGGCCACTTAGAATAGGAATAGTCAGTCACACTCTTCAAATTCACTAAATAGCATCCATACTATACTGCAATATAGTAACATTTACTGTAGGAATCTCAAACCATCATAACAATCTATCAATGAACAATGGTAAACTAGTCTTAAGAAAATGGTAATAGTTAAGTAATCTTTCATCCCAGGATGTAGAACAATTTCTTTAATAAAAGATAAAAGTGGAAGCTATTACCACAATTAAACATTCATTCATAAATAGCAGGCATCCAGCCCATGTGAGTCAGGTATTGTGGAAGGTACTGTTGGGCCAGAAATGACATTACTGGCCAAAGAGTTTGCAGTTCAGAACAGGAGGCAAAAATATAAGACAAACATTATTGGGCTGAAGATGGTGGTACGTCTGACATTTCCAAGAAAGGTGTCCAAGTCGTCTAGATTTGGTTTAGTGGGCAAGTCGGGGACAGGAAAGGGAGAATTCTGGGAAGCTAGGAAAATAAAAATATGGATAGGGCAGCTTTAAAAAAATGGAAACAGAGGCACGGGGAACAAGATTATAAGTAGAAACAATAAAACAAAGGCATTAAAGAGTATTCTTTATTATCTGACTTAGTGGAGATTGGTGAAGGCTACAGAATGGGGGAGAAAAAGGAAAATGACTTGATCACAAATGGCCTTGTGGTGGCACAGTGAAGACACAAGTCAGGGGAGACATTTTCAGAAATGCAGTAAAAGGCCGGTGAGATAGCTCAGCAGACTAAGCGCCTGCTTTGGCAAGTGCAGGGACCACGGTTCGATACTCAGTCCCACATGTTGTGCTGGTGAATGAGTCCAGGTATGGTGGTGCACGCTTGTAATCCCAGTGCTGGGGAGGCTGAAAACAGGAGGATCACTACGAGTCCCAGCTGCGTAGTGAGACCCTGTACCAAATACATAAATGAAGAAAAAAAATGCAATAAAAAAGTGACTGCTAAGTTCCACAAGGAAGATTATGAGAATATATTTTAAGAAGGAATGGACCTTAAACTGTACTGATAAACCCTTGGGAGTAGAACATATGATATTTATTAAAAATAATGTTTTAGGGAAGGAAGGCAAGGTATTGATGCATGAAAATGAGCTATGGACTGTAGTGACTGGTTAGACGAGTTGGCATGAACGAAGGACACATAAAAACTCAGGCATGGCACCCCCCCAGGACAGCTGAAGTTGGACACACTGCTTTCAACAATCAGGTAGCACAGTTGGAGATGGAGTCATGCTTTCAATAAACTTGGAAACCAATTGAAAAATGGATAAAAAAAGATGGCAATGTGAGATGAAGTGTAAGAGAAAACTGTGCTTCAGTAGCAGGAGCACAGGCCACCTTTAAAGCTCAGGGCTGGAGACACAGCATAGTTGCGGAGAACTGGCCTCGCATGTGCAGGGCCCGGGGTCTAATGCCCAGCTCCTTAATCCATCAGTCAGTACTGAAAATGGTGCAAGTGGCAATCTATTGGCTTTTAAAAATTACCCCATAGCTTCCCTTACCTTTGCTCCTAATTAAAAGATTTAAAATACAAATAAAGCCAAATGCATACCTTTTCTGCCTTTTTGTCAGAAATGTCCTGCTTTTCCAGAACAGCCATGCTCTCCTTTAGGTTCTTCACGATGTCTGCAGGAGATTTGTGAGACTTCCCAAATGGGAACGGCATGACGGCAGTGACAGAGGCCTTGGCTGCTCTCTGCCTGCTTGACCTGAAATGCAGCACAAGGTTCACATAAGCAAATGGTGGGCTCAACAAAAGCCATACTTTGTAAATTCTAATTTGGGGGGAACCTCATATTTATCAAATCCATTTTACGTGACTTTCAAAATCAGTAGGAACCGGGAAACTCACCAATATGTGTAAGAAATGAGGACACAGAAAGACAATTTACAATCAGAGAATGCTTTGTACTTTTAAAAACATTTTCTTTCTCTTTAGATAATCTGCTTCCTGACCACCTGTGAGGAAGAGGTTTCTGGTGATACTGAAGTAGGCAGCTGTGGCTACCATTCTCAGACAACTATTACCCCATGCAAAGCACTTAATCCATCATCTCATGGAATCCTTTCACATAACCCTTGAGGGACATTACTGGTGCACATTACAGGAAAAGTTTAACAAGACTAAGAATCTGGCTCAAGGAACTAACTAGTAAAATCAGCCTGGGTTTATCTTGATTTAAAGTGTCCTCTATCATCACACTGTACCTCCAATTAACAGAAGTCTCTATTCTATGGGGACAGAGGCAGAAAACCAGGAAGGCGCTTAACTACACAAAGCTCCAACAACAGGCCTCCTAGCCAGTTCTCTGCTGATGCTCCTCTCCAGTGTTCCAGGGTCTGTGCTGCTCCTGAGCACTCCCATGAGCTGCATCCACACTGTCCTCAGCACATCCACTGCCTATTCCAGTGTGTCTAGGGTCAGTGCTGGAGAGAACCCTGGATGGCACCATGTACAAATTTCCTCACAGATCCTTAAGGCTCTTAGGGATATTTTCAAAATTTATTATTTCACTCTGCACGTGACCACCATTTATGAAAGAACACAATACATAAAATCCTGGGGAGAATAAACTTTTACAGTTCTCAAGATTTTTGTGAGCAGTAGAAAACATTTCAACCACATAAGCCATAATATTAATTATACAAAGGATGATAGAACTACTCCAAAATCTTACCATGAGAAAGACATAGCTAAAAAGATAAATAATGGAAATGACTTGGGAACACGATGGAAGTTGCAATTTCTTTTACTAAATAAACTGAAGAACATTAAACTGACCAGGTGCAGTGATGTATGTCTATAAAGCCAATTACTTGGAAGCTGAGAGAGGAGAATCACAAATCCAATCTGAGCCTAAGCAACTGAATGAGACCCTGTCTCATATTAAAAAGAGCTGGGGATGTAGCTCAGTGTCAAGGCCCTGGGTTTAATCACTAGTACAACAAAACAAAACAAACTCATGGCTAACAAACTAAAAGCTAAACTTACAGGCATTAAATAGTCTTGCTTTTATTTAATTTTACTTTTTTTGGCGGAACTGGGGATTGAACTCAGACCCTTGCGCTTGCCAGGGAAGTGCTTATTCTACTGAGCCATCTCCCTGGCCCCAATAGTCTTGTATAAAATACCAACCATAACACCTTTGAGAAGAAATTTACAGTTCACTTAATGGTTTTTCAACAGTGAATTCCAACCTCATATTGCTCCAGATATTCTTCTACCTCCCACCCATGAACCAAGGTAGGAAGAGGGTCTTGGATGCTCCAACTCTACTTTGTTTTTTTATGTAAATACATACATCACTAATAAATAGCATCACAACCTCTTTTGAATCTGGCCTAAACTTTCACTTGACAAATACGATTTTCCCCCACTAGCATCTGAGCTACAACAACATATACACCTATAAAGAACAAATACTTAGGGGAAAAGACCATGAAAATGAATGTTAGTGTTAAGCCTATATATCGTAAGCCAGCATGTTATTCCTCTACATGTTTTGATAGGAACTGTTCTGACCAATCTCTATGCTCAAATATCACCTACCCCAGCTTCTGTCAATTTATAAATCCTTTTTTGGATCACATTAAAACCACACCTTCATTATCCAAAGAGTGGGACCCTAACAAATAGATGTCTTCTACCATATGTTCTCAAAATTCAAAGATGCTTAAGCCTACTTTTAAATATCTTTTCTAGTGAGAAGAGGTTTGGATGGGGAATCAGTTCCAACTGGCTGCTAAACTATCTCACTATCTAGCTAGGTGGCACATAAATCTTTTGTTTTTTGAGACAGGGTCTTGCTATGTAATTCAGGCTGGGCTTGAACTCACCAGGGAGCCTATGCTGGCCTTGAACGCATAAGTGATCCTCCTGCCTTAGTCTCCCAAGTGCTGAGATAACAGGCATGGGCCACCATGTCCAGTCCAGCACACAAATCTTTTTTTTTTTTTTTTGCAGAACCGGGGATTGAACTCAGGCCCTTGCACTTGCCAGGGAAGTACTTATTCCACTGAGCCATCTCCCCAGCCCCAAAGCACACAAATCTTGAATCATTCTTTTCCATTACCTTTTGTGGGGGGAGAGATAGGGGACACATGCAGGTTGCTTCTGCATAAACGTAACAGACCATGTTCACAACAAGTTCTCTGAAAATATTAGCTTTCCTGTCTGTAATTTTGCAAATAAAAACAGTGATGCTATATATGTCGGGGCTGGGTGCAGGGTGGGAATATTTAATGACAGTCAGCAGGAAGTGTTACAGCGCTACACAACAGAGACATTTTCAGTTCTGGTTCAACTGTGGAAGAGGTGACTCTAGAGGGTGAGGAAGATCTCAGAGGTCCTCTACCACACCAAATGCTGGTCACAGCAGAAACCACAGCTGCCAAGAACACGCATACAAAATGCTTCTGTAAGGGAAGAGGGAGGCATGACACAATCATTCCTTTTAATTCAAATGCTGAGCAGCTATGGCTTTATAGAACATATAAACTTAAAAAATGAACTCTGAAGAAATAATAACACATACACAAAAGAAGTAGACACTCCTCAGCAGAATTCAATTGTATCAGTGAAATATTTATGACAGACTCACGTCCATCCCTCATTTTCTACTTTTATGATTTAGCAATTAAAAAGTATTAACTATTGGGTGAAATTATATAGTGCTTATTGTTATTTATTATTTTATTATTATTATTATTTCAACAATTTTTAAAAATTTCACTTATGCTTCTTAATACAACTATCCAAGATTTGGGGTAGCAGAGGGGCAAATAATGACTCCTAAAACTTCTGTATTAGAGAATTTGTTTTTTACATCTAGGTTTGCTAAAGTATTGCATGCCTCAAGTGACACAATTTTTAGAATAATTCAAAATACAGAAAAACTTAAAATTTAGAATGCCCCTAAGTGACGACAAAGCAAACAAGTAATAAATACATGTGCCTGGAACACTATTATGACAGGAAAAAAAGTAGTATTTTTAGAAATTAAGTTGTGAGTTCTCAAGTATGTTAGGTTAACATGGATAAACCTACTATGTATTGATTTTGTATTGTTAATTTACAATAAATACAGAAAGAAAACTAAAGTAGCTACTGAGGCAGAGATGCTTTTCTCAACGTACTTTGTCTCAAACAATATGTGAAAATCATAGATATGTCGTATGTCTTAAAGATGTGGACACTGATGCCAAAATAGTAGAAGGAGCTGATAAGTGTTACCTCTGGGAAGTCAGGAGAAGGGTAGGAATTTGGTATTTTTTCTTGGAAGTCTTTCTGTTAACTGACTCTTTTGGTCATTTATATGTATAAACATAAACCCTAAATTTAGGGAAACAGTTGATAAAGCAATTCATCTTTAATTGTAAAAAGTACTACCCACAAAACATTTGAACTGAAGGCAGAATGACAAAATAAAGTGAGCTTCAACTTGCTAATTTTCAAAGTGAGATATTTCCTATCTTATTCCATTCAATTTTTAAAAATACATGAGATTTTGAACAAATGAATCACAAATTGGTTTTAGAATCTAGAACCAAAACACAGGCTTAAAGAGTTAAGCTTCACGTTTCAATTCTTTCACTCTCCTTATTCTATTCTATATCCAAAAGAAATAGGAATTAATTCATTTCACAAAACAACATATGATCTTCAGATACATACAAATTATAGCAAAAGCACCTCACTCTAGACTATAGTAAACTCTCTGCTTTCTCCCTGGAGTAGACAGTATCTTGTTTTATGACACTGAAGGACATGAAACGCACAAGCACGCACAGTCTCGAGTTTGGGAACTAACACTCCCAAGAAAATGGAGATACCCAATGATTAAGGTGGTTAGAAGACAGCTTTCACCACAATCATCAGTCTGCCTTTTTCTTTAAACCTTACGATCAACAGTATTTGCTTAGGTTAAGAATTTGGAAGAATTTGGGGCAGCAATCACAGCACTGAGCAAGGATGCCCTCCTTCAAGAACTTTTTTATTGCCTTACAATAAAACCCAAAGCCCTGGCCACAGCTTCCTAGGACATGCCCATCTCTGGCTGACAGCCGAACTCTCTGGCTCCTAACCATGGAGGTCCAGCCATGCCGACTTCCTTTCTGCTCCCTGAATATGCCAACTACTTCTGAGTCAATGTTATAATGCAAGTATGGGAAAGTTGTAATTTTAAAATCTAGATGGCTTTAAACCATCTAGCATATGGGTTTTCATTGCTAATTTAATTCATGCTCAAAATTTTTCTTAATATATTTAGAACAGCCTGAGTCATATGTTGGACAAAAGTAGAGTTCATGAGGGAAATGGGCAGAAATACACATTATGATTAAAAAAGTAATTTAACTTTCAAACTTAACTCTTGTCCTTCTTTTTTGTGGTACCAGAGATTGAACTCTGGACCCTGCGCTTGCCAGGCAAGAGCTTATTCTACCTAGCTATCTCCCCCGCCCCTTTTTTTGTGATTTTCAAAACAGTTGGTTGATAACAAATCTCACAGGATGCCTCCGGCTGAGTGAAAGCTGTTCATGCAGTTTGGACAAAGCCAATTACTGTTAGGATTCTTAAGGGGCCGGTAGAAACCCACATCTATACTTCTCAAACTGGAAGTACACTTGCTCTTGATGGTAATCAGTTGTGTGTGCTTGAGTCCCTAAGATAAAGAAGAGATGGAGGGGATCTTTAGCTTGATAGCCAAGA